CGGCGTAGATCGAACACGTCGGCCCGGGCTGGCGACTTGGCGTACTCGCGCGGGTCCAGATCGAGCGCCGTCGGCGTCGGCGCCTCGTCGTCGATCCCGCGGCCCGACGACCGTGACGGCCGGGACGCGGCCGCGAAGCGGGCCCGCGACGCGGCCTACGCCCGCGCGGCCCGCGGCACCGGCGGGACCTTCGGCGTCGCCGACGAGCAGTAGCCGCACTACATCTTCGTCGTCGTGCCCTCTCCGTCGCCGTGCTCCTGTCCGCCTCCGCCCTACTGCGGCTCTCCCTACAACGGTCGTCGCCGTCAAACATCAGAGTCCTGGGCTTGCTCGTCGCACGGCTGCGACTGCCGCGCAGCGTGCGCGCGTCTCGGACCGGCTTGGAGCGCATGTCGCAGCCGCACGCACTTTTGGGGAACGACAAACTCCCACCGCGTGTCGCCGGAGCGATGGAGCTCATCCAGGACTTCGGGCCCTCGGACCCGCCGGGCCAGGCTCAAACATTCGGTCTGACGGGCGCCGGGTCTTTGAACGGGGGCGCGAAGAAGCGCGGCCGCGGGTCCGGTGGCCCGAAGACGCTCTTCGCGAACAAGATCAACGCGTCCCAGAGCCCGTCGTCGGCGAGGCCCTCGCCGCGGCCCGCCGCGCCCGCCGCGAAGATCCCGAAGAAGGCCGCGCGGCCGGCGGCGCCCGCGCGGCCCCCGGCCGAGGCCCGCGCCCGGGACGCGGACTGCGAGAGCCAGGAGGCCGTGCTCGGGCTGCTCGACACGCTCGAGGAGATCGACGTCGCGCGGGCGGACGACGTCGAGGCGGCCGTAGGCCCGGCGCGTTCGCCGACGAGGGCTTCGGGCCCCCGCCGCGGGCCTCGCGGCCGACGAAGGCGGGGCGGCAGCAGCGGGGCCCGGGCGCCCGGGACAGCCAGATCCACCTGCCCGCGGCGAGTCCCTGGCTCCCCCGGAACGAGCCGGGCGCGCAGGGCGCCGAGCGCGCGCGGCGCGCGGTCGGCGCCTGGGAGCAGCCGCGGCCGCGCGCGGCGGCCGCGCGGCGGGCCGCGCCGCCGGCGCCCGCCGCGGAGCCCGCCGCGAAGCGGCGCCGCGCGCGCGACGGCGCCGCCGAGGCCGAGGCCGAGTGGCGGCCGGAGCCGCGGCGGTCGCGGCGCGGCCGGCCCGCGGATCCGACCGGGACGGCGGAGAAGCCGCTCTGCATCGACGACTCCTCCGACGACGACGCCGGGGCCGCGGGTGCCGCGGGCGCCGCGGGCGCCGCCGGTCCGCGCCGGTCCGCGCGGCGGACGCGCCGGTCGCCGGGCGCCGGGGCCGACGCGACGCCGCTCTTCCAGTACCCGCCGGGCCCCGCCGCCGTCGACAGCATCGTCGTCACGCGCGGCGACGTCGACCGCCTCGAGCCGGACGAGTTCCTCAACGACAACCTCGTCGACCTCTACGTCAAGGTCCTCGTCGCGGACGCGGCCCGGTCGCGGCTCGCGGCGCGCGAGGGCTTCGACGCGGCCCGCCTCGGGTCCGAGGTCCACGCGTTCAGCTCCCACTTCTTCACGAAGCTCCAGGAGGAGGGCCTCCGGGCCCCGGACGGCAAGGACCGCGCGTACGACCGCGTCGAGCGGTGGACGCGCGGCGTCGACGTCTTCTCGAAGAAGTTCCTCGTCGTCCCCATCGTCGAGCACCTGCACTGGAGCCTCGCCATCGTCTGCCACCCCGGCGCCCTCGTCCGCGTCGTGCGGGACCGGATCGCGCGCGAGGAGGAGGAGGCGGAGGAGCGCGCGCGCGGCGAGGACGACGACGAGAGCGACGCGCCGCGCATCGACGCGACCGCGGAGCCGTCGGGCGCGCCGCCGCCGCCGCGGCCCTGCATCATCTTCATGGACTCGCTCAAGATGCACAGCGCGCCCAAGGTCGAGCGCTTCCTCCGCGCGTTCCTCGAGCTCGAGTGGGCGAAGCGGAAGCCGGACGAGCCGGAGCTCAAGCTCAAGCTCAAGGTGGACCTGCCCCTCGTCGTGCCCAAGGTGCCCATGCAGACCAATTCCTGCGACTGCGGCGTCTACGTCCTGCGCTACGCCGAGGAGTTCCTCTCGCGCGCCGTCGGCGCGGCGCCGACCGTCGCCGTCACCGAGGCCGCCGTCGACGACAAGTTCGCGGCCCACGACTTCGCGTCGTGGTTCACGGCCGCCGAGGTCGCGGCCATGCGCGGCGACCTCAAGGCCGCCGCCGAGGACCTCGCGGTCGCGGCGTCGGCCTCCGCGTGAGCGCCGCGCCCCGCGCCGTCCGTCGGACGATGCCCGCGGCGCCGCGGACGCCCATCGGGGTGCCGCCGACGCCGCGGGCCGGCGTCGCGCGTCCCCCGCGCGTCGTCGACGCCGCCGCGGCGCGCGCGCGCGCCCGCTCCCGCTTACGAGTCGTGCTTAGCGCGCGATGCGGCCGGCCTTGAAGGCCGCGATGCCCGCCTTGGCCGCGCGCGCGCGCGCGCCGCCGGCCCGCGCGGCGCCGCCGAGGCGGAAGATCTCCTTCTCGCGGTTCGGGGGCCCGCAGAACTGCTTCGCGAGGTCGTAGTGGGGCGCCGCGCGCTCCGCGGCGCAGGCCGCGGCGCGCGACCCGCGCTCGCGCGCGCGCGCGTCGAGCTCCGCGACGAGGAGCGCGGGCGCGCCGCCGTCCGGGTACGCGCGCGCGGGCAGCGGGTCCCGGGGCACGCGCCCCGGCGCGTAGTAGCGGAACCAGTGCGCCGCGGCCGCGCCGTTGCGCCGCAGCGCCGCGAGCGCCGTCGCGTTGACCGCCTGCGCCGGGCCCGAAGCTTCGACGCGACGCCGACGGCCGCGGCGGGCGGCCGCCCCGGCGCGAGCGCCGCCGCCGCGCGTCGATGACGCGACGAGCGGACGCGCCCCGTCCCCGCGTCGGCCGCGAAGGGAGCTCGCGCGCGTCCGACGGAGCCGACCCTTCGGGGGGCGGCGGTCGCGTCCCGCGCGGGCGGCCGCCCGGAGCGCCGCGAGGAACGACCCGTCGACGGCCGCGGCCTCGGGCACGCGGAGCGCGAAGTCGCGCTCGGACAGGGGCCCGCCGAGGAGCGCGTCGTCGAAGGCGTAGAGCGCGTCGTCGGACGCGACCACCGGCACGCAGCCCGCGAGCACCGCGTCGTACTGGCGCTTCGCCGACGGCGAGTCGCCCTCGGGGCAGGGGCAGAACACGGCCGCGTGCATGACGGCCTGGCGCGGCGCGGCGCCGGCGCCGGGCCCGCGCGCGTCGCGCCACGCCGCGGCGACGCGCGCGGCCGCGGCGGCGACGGCGGCGTCGCCGCGGAGCGCGCCGGCGATGCCGTCGCGGACGTTGACGCAGCCGTGGCGGCCGCCGCTGTAGGCGGCGAGGAGCGGCCGCGGCCGGTCCGGGTCGCCCGTGCGCGCG